AGAAAAATGGCTTATCCTATGTGCTATAGCTTCTGAAGACCTCAAGGATGTTTTTGGGAAATTCTTCCATCTGATACTTCTAGAGCAATGAAGTCGTTGCCTTGATTCACTTTACTGTTTAACATTCCCCTCTTCTCCATTAAGGTTTTGGTTGTAGTCACAGATGTGAATGATTGTGCCCCCGAATTTCATCAGTCGATTTACAGCAAAGTTGGTGTTCCTGAAACAGTTACTATGACAACTGCGCTTCTACAGGGTTAGTACTTCTAAAACAATGTGTTACATTCAGTATGAGTATTTTTTTTCTCCCACTAATCAGAATTCAGTTCAGAAGGCAAAATTACCTGCCCCAGCATGGGTAGTTGCAACTCTCTGAAGGCAAATGGCACCTTGTAGAATTGGGTCATAATTATTTACTACTGCCACAGCCCAATTAATTTTGGGGGACAGGAGACAAATTAGTTTTGGGGGACAGGAGACAAAGGAAACAAATCTTCTTTGCAGGATTTTGAAGTAACACGACTTCAGTTGTGGTTGGTATTATAGCAGCAGGCTTATAGTAGCAATCTTGCAACATTTCTTTTTTTTTGAAGGAAGAGAGTGATGTTGGATCAGAAATTATGGACACATCAGCTTGCCTTCTCTGCCCGTCTTCGAGTCCTGTGTGGGCTTGCTGCAGAGAATACTGCTCTTCTGCGTTAAAAGCCTCTTGCATGGTTTAACTGTTCTATGTGAGGTTTTGTTTGGATGCTTGAGAAAAAGACTTTGCTTCTTTCCAATGTAATCAAGAATTTAAGCTTTAAATGATCATGCTCTAAATTATGTAAATTTTGATTTTGTAAACCACAAAAATCTTTCATTGAAAATGTTTATAAAGAAATGAGCAGGACCTAGCAATAAAACAAATTTATGTCAACTAAGCAGTTGTAGAAGGGCCTTATGTTAGTCTTCAACCCTTATGTAAAGTTTTTATAAATCTTGAGGGGAAAAAGGAAATTAAACTACAGGAAAACTTCTGTTTCCTAGTAAATAGGATTTTATAACCTCCCACTGTTCTACTTAGTGATTTATCCTGTACTAATGGTAGTCTGTCAGTTACTATTCTGGTAACTGCGCTTTTAGCATAGGTTTTTGTAGGGTATGGGTAGGAGCTGACACATAACTTGCATCAGTTGAATAATATATGTAAATATTTACTCTTTAATCACACAGGGTGTGATCTGTCCGAGTGATCTTAAGTCAGCAGTATAGATCAGGTGGACATGAGAATATACGTCTCTGTGTGAGAATATGTTCTTGGTAGTACAGGGCTCCAAATCCAGCAGACAAGAGCAAGATCTAGTGGCTGAATTCAACCAGGGACTTAACTTTTTTTTTTTTTTTTTTAAAAAAAACAACTAAGGGTTAGTTCAATAAAAAGCACAGGGGATAGCACAGTTTTATAAATTACTTCAATCACCACATGCCAAGGCAAATGCTATTACAGTTTTATACTACACACTAATTCTCTTGTTAAAGTACTTAACATTTCAATTCACACACTTTGATCTACACAATGTCTTTCTCTTCTCTTTTAATAGTGACAGCCACGGACTGCGATTCAAAAGAGAATGCCGAATTACTATATTACACTTTGAGTCAAGACTTCAGTATTACTTCTCATGGTACTATTTTTCCAGCAACACAGCTGGACTATGAGCGACCTGACCATCTTTATGAGTTCATAGTTATGGCTGTAGATAAAGGGGAAGAGCCGAAGACTGGGACAGCAACTGTTAGGATCCATGTTTCAAATGTGAATGATGAAGCACCTGAGTTTTCCCAGACAATGTAAATACATATTCTTAGAACTCTGTTATCTTTGTCTTTTACTGTTGCTTTTTAAATTTTGGTCGAAAGGCGGATCATTATAGGATGGTAACTAGCTTCGGTTCAATCAAATCTGAGAGTTGGACTGACAAATGCGGATGATCTTTTGACTCTGAGACTCTCTTACTACCAGTAAAAAAAACAAAAAACCAAAAAAAAACCAGCTTTAAGTTTGGTTCTTAATTTTCAGGTTTAGACATACTTTCACTGTAGAGTAGGACTTGTATATCTAGCTAGACAGAGGTAATATATAGACAGTCTCTTTTGACAGATGTTGCTCTGAAGTTTTTTTCCACTATGTACTGAAAGAGGTGGTGCAGTCATTTCAGAGTATACATTTCAAGAGGACCCCTCCACTACCAAAGGAAATCAAGCAGAAAAAGCAGGCAACTCAGCGTTGTCCTCAGCCCTCATCCAGAGTACGTGGTGGAATTTTGCCTTTTAATTAGGAAATTTAAGCTTAGACAGAGTCAACTGTCTGCATCCCTGATTTATAATTGTAAAAAAAAAATGCTCAGATGACAGAATCCTAAATGACCACTGAATTAGAAAACCCACAAGATAAATGTCAATAAGTGGAGTTCACTTAATTTCACTTAGTCCCATGCTCTACACACTGTACCTTCCCCCCCCCCCCCCCCCCCCCTTGTAAAGCATCAGTAAGCATTTTTCTTCCATAGCTGGGGCTCAGAAGTGAGTGAAGCAATGTCACAAGTACTTTAACCTTGCATTTGCATTAGAGGCTTAGTAATGGAATTCCCAGTCAGCTTCTGCATCAGCCTTCTACTCTTAAAAGTAGAAGTTGCTCAGAACAAAACCCAGGCAGAGATTTCAGTGATGCTAAGCTTGTGGTTTAGCTGCACAAAACATCAAAGCTTTCTGACAGTCCTTACTTTATGTAAAGGTAACCTATGGCTTCAAAATCTTGGGCCTTCCTTTCTTTCTTAAACGTTGCTTAGGAGATATGGCTTGGAAAAGTTGACCTTTCATAAATTCTTACTGGATCTCTATGCATTTTCAAATACTAAACCAGATGATGCTTATTTTTCATTTATTTGTTTTAATATTCAGGGTCATTGAATATTTATCTATATCTGTTAGTCTTGTATCTGTTCCTAATTTTTTAATCAGAAATGAGTGATAATATTAAAGATGCTGTAAACATCTCTAACAAACTGGAAGTAGAAAACATAGTTTAACCCCCTCTGCCAACTCTTATATTTAATGGTTACTGAAGAATATGATTAAAATGAACATTATTTTAAATTACCAAACATTTCACAAGAAGCTTTTCTGTTCCTTACGCAATAGCAGGGAAACTGGTATTGTATATATGTGTAGATTGGCATTGGAATTGAATTCAGCTCCTGGAATTCAAATTATCTCAAGTTTTGTTTAGCCAGGTTAACCAGGCTTTGATTTTGCTTTGTCTTTCCTGTTATGAAAAAAATCTTGAACCCAAAAGTGAATTTCAGGCAGAACTTAGTTGAAGTTTTCTGTGAAATAGATTCATCATGAACACCCGTAAGTTAGGTCCTGTTGAGAGACTAGTTTGCAATTAATGTTATGCTCTGTGGCAGGCTAATACAAATCAAGATGATGATGTTGTCCTTCCAGCCCTTTGTTTAAATAGATTTACACTCCAGTATAAACTTACGATTCCTTGCCACGAGCTTTCTTTCATCACTGTTACTGTTCATCTCAATTATGAAATGCTTAAGGCTACCACTGTGTTTCATTTTGTCAGTTTTTACTTTCTCCTTTTTAAGAGACCTCTTCTGATGACTTGAACTCTTCTGTCCCTAATTTAATATTCAAAATTATCAGAATTACTGTTCATTTGCTTTCCAGATGCAGAGTTAAGACAGTGTCCTGAGGGTTGTGACTGAGCAAAACCAGAATAATTTACTTCTCTTACTTCATTGCATATTAAGCTGGGGGAAGACAAAAAGCTGTTTCTATGAAGGTTTTGATGAAAACACACATATCTAGACAACAAAAGCTAAGGGAGAGGTTTTCTGTGCATCCATTTTCTTTTTCTTTGAATTTTTTCCTATTCTCAGCATATGGAGAGTGGGTCCACAAGCATTCTGAACCCACTGGTACATATGTATTTTATCTCTGTTGTTGGATACAGCCAGCTATAGTTCATTCTTACGACTGAGCTTTGGGATATCTACTGTGGACAGGTCTGTGGTATGCTTAGTCTGCACTATGCTCTATCCAGTCAGATAAAATAATAAATATTTGGGATTTTGCTAAAGCAGGCGGCTTTTCTACTCCAGAGAGCCTTAAGTTTAGGCTGATAATGCCTCTTAAGAGCTTACAATGTCAGTGATGTGTCTGGACTTGAGAAGAGATTTTTGTAAAACTGACGTTATGTGCATAGATTCTCGTCTTAGTCGTGCTGGTGCAAAGACTACACTGAAAGTATTTTGAAAGCTTGTGTCAGAAAGTGTGCTATAATAAGCAATGCTTTAACTTAGCAAATGTTTGCTTTGATTCCGTGAATCATGCAACTAATTTTTTGAAATTTAAAAAAAAAGTGAATTCTGCATTTAGCCCAAGTCTTGTTGTGAAGCTAAGCTTCAAAGTTTCAATATTGCTGAAAGTTTGCAATGGAATTCTATGGGAGGTAACAACAGGAAGACCTGAATGGTTGGCTAGATCATCAATACTATCATTTCACTGGTTAACAAAGAAACATCAATGTGATTGTATTAATAAATTACAAATCTCTGCAGTACCCTTTGTACAGGTAGCCAGTAGGCATAAAGCATAGTTCTGTATATATTATTTCCTGTCTAAATTCATAAATATGTTGTCATAATTTCTTTTAACAGCTACAGGAGTTTTGTTTCTGAAGATGCAGGCCCAAACACACTGATTGCTACGGTTAATGCTGTTGACCCTGATGGAGATGGTGTGACATATGATATTCTGTCTGGGAATCAGAAAGGAAACTTTGTTATTGACCCTAAGAAAGGTAATAATATATTAGCTCTTTGCTGCTGCAGTCATAATGTTGATTCTGATGTGATGCAGCTTGAGTTCGGTCTTCATAGGTAGCAATTATAAAAACTGAATAGCATATGCTATTTTTGAAGCTAATACTAACCTAATTTTAAAAAGTGCAGGAAAAAGATGCAATTGTTCTAGACTCTCTTATAATGTCAAAAAAATTGTATCGTTTTCCCAAAAGCTTTGTATAATTGAGCTATCTTACTTGTTTATTGTTTGCTTTCAGTCAATAAGTTAATAGAGAGCATTATTATAGGTAACAGGTAACTTAATAGACAGTAACTTAATAGAGAATGTTATTGTTGATAACAGTGACATTCCAAAATGTCAAACAAGGATTTGAATAACATTTAGTCTAGGAAAGTCTAGTTTGAAAGTTGTAGTAAGAAAGGGCTACTCTGCAGGGTAAGATGAAATAGGAGTCAAGGGTGACAGCAAGGCAGGCAGGGGCAGGGCCCTCAGCCACAGAGCACAGTCCTGAGCAAGAGCAGCAAAGCAGGTCCTGTGATACAAACCTGGTTCATCCAACAGTCCAGTGGTCACCAGACCGATTTGCAGTGATGAGGCAGGTCTCAGGTCAAGCTGGGAAGCCAAGTCAGCAAGGCAGCATCAGGGTCAGCAATATACATGGCCAGGTACAACACACTCCCCGGGGGAGCTCAGGAAAAGACCTGGGCTTAAGTGCAGCTCCTGAGACATGGGGCAGAGGCCACAGACAAGGCTTCTGACAGCTAACTGTCTGATCCAAGGTTAGCCGGCTGCATTGTGTCAGACCTGGCCTTGAACGTGGACAGCCAAACCCAGGGAGCAGGAGGAAGAGTTTGCAAGGCCTGTTGGTGCACTCAAAGCTTGACATCCACCTTCTGCGATTAGCCAAAGATACTATTAGTAATCAAATAGCCCTGTGAGGAGAAAAAACAATAGGATGACAGTTCTGACTGGAGAAGTTTTCTTTGTGCAACTTTCTCAATAACTCAGTTTTAACTGGTTTAAAGTGGGCATTTGGGTTTTTAGACGAGGCTTTTCTTTTCCCGTGCTTATGTCTATGACCTGTTTACGCATGTGTGAGCAAACACTTCTTAACCAAGTTTACTTGTGTTGTAGTGACACAAAATGATGCATTTGTAGGTGGAAGGAGACTACCACTGTTTTATTTCAATGAAGGCAAAAGTATATAAGATATGAACTCAGTAAGGATATTTTTCATTTAAGGACAAAATCATTCACATGAGCAATGTTATTTAGCCAAGAATACTACATGCATGAGAAGAAAAAATGTGTGGAGAATACTTTGCAGTTTGCAGTCATTTGTTCTGAAATACCAGTTTTTACATCTTTTTAAATTTGTTTCAGCAGTTGCATATTTTTAAAACGCCAATGGAAAAAATCCCACAATGTTGGTGTCCTCATTTAAAAAAATTTTTTTTTTTTTTTCAAAAAAAAATGCATAAACATTGGGGCAGATTTTTTTTTTCAAAAAAAATTTTTTTTGAAAAATTTTTTTTTCAAAAAAAAATGCACAAACACACGTCATCTGAGTAGGCTGGCATATCCCTTTAAAGTAACAGGATTTATTTGCTGTTCATTGCTTGAAAAAACAAAAGAGGATGTTTTGAAACAGAAACAGGCAACCAAATTGAACGGATTGAAGTAACTTAATTAACTTCAGTTAAACTACTTTATATTTAACCTGTTTTGAACTGCAATCAAAATCTGAACTTACATTTTTCAAAGCACAAGTGTTGAATATATAGGAAGGAGTGAGCCACCCGAAGTTATTCCTTCTCTTTGTTTCATAGAGTTCACTTAGCATGAAATTTTAATTTCAATGCAAATCATGTTTTTGCAATATTAATATTATATTCTGAAATGTTCCCAAAGATATGGTCTGTAGGTAACTTGCAAGTGTTGAAGCATGATCCTGAATTTATTGAGAGCTCCTTTTATCCTTTCTGACTTAAAAATAGAGCTATAGGTTCCAAGAGTTAAATTTCTAAAGATACTTTGGCACCTAAAGAGGAACGATGGTTTTAAAAGCGCCTAATTGCCACAGGGGTAGTATATCTGATGCTTCTGAAAATCTTTATTGTAAGTGCTTAATCAAATCTTTATTGATTGATAGCATCTCTTAGGATTAGCTTCATAGTTTTAATATAGATAATCATGTATATGTACTTTTATACTTTTTTACCAATTAATTTTTATAGTCTTTGAAACTTAATTTTAGAAACATTAGCATTTTTTTTTCAAAACTTTCGGGCTTTTGTTGCTTAATAAACCAATAAAGGTTTATACAGTGGCTTGCAGCAGTTTCTTTTCAGAAATGATGTCGGGGAATAGTCTGTACCCCCTTGTCACAGAAATGCCGAGGTAAAATGGAAATGTGTCAAAAATAAGTGCTGCAGCTAAAGCAATACATTTGCAAGCAAATTGAGTGACATTGATGGTGTGACAATACTCTGTTGTAATGACAATTGCTATTATGCCTCATGAATAATAGAGATGATTGATGGATGATGGAGCAAAAGAATGACAGCTTCTTACTGCATGGTCTCAGATAGCTGTAGTCTCTTTTGCTTTTGTAGCAAATCTTTTCTACATCTTTCTCTGACAGTGCCTTTATGTCCCATCCAGCAGGGTGTGTTATTTGGGTGACTTGGGAGAGGAGCAAAATACAGGTTTCTGAGGATATGTCTATATAGCTAAATGCTGCTATAATTGTGCTGCAGGAAGGTAAACTTGTACTACTTTCAGTTGAGCTAGCATGGGTAGCTACAGCTGTAGACATGGTCATACATGCTTCAGTGCGATAATGATACAGGAACACAGCCAGGCTCGCTGGTGGGGCTGGCGCAGGTTAAACAGAAGTTTGCCACGAAGTTTCTCTGGATTTTTTTGTTCTGTTTTGTTTTTTTCTGCAGCAGATAGACTAAAGCTAATATATGCAGGTCAGCTGAGTTGTAGTTGTTGTTGCATTTAGCTCTGTAGACCTACCTGCAGACAAACAAACATGTTGTGCTGTCTTAATTTTGCTTTAGTATCAGACTGCAGTAAAAATACCATAGTTAAATTAAACTCTAGCAGCCTTGTGGTTTATTGGTGAATGGGTAAACCAGAATGGTTTGTTGCCGTGCTTACTAGTGAGAAGAATAACAGTAATTGGTTAATGTAGTAAAAAAATAAAACCCCACAACCTATTGTTGTTTTTACAGGGCTAGTTAGACTTCGTTCAAGTCCATTTCCTAAGCTGCAGGGGACAGAATACGTACTTAATGTCACAGCTACTGATGATAATGCCTCTGGAGGGCCTCATTCTCTTACAAGTATTGCCCAGGTTCTTGTGAAAATTGATGATGTCAACAATAACAAACCTGTCTTTCAGAAGGTAAATATATGAGGCTCAGTCATTTGTATTAGACTGTGTGGTAAATGTTTAAGACTGTTGTTGTCACTGCAAGTGATGCAGCAGATGAGCTATTCAAGAAGTGGTCCGCTTTCATCTCTCTTCCAGTCCTGATGCCGCTGTCCTCTCCATCTTTTCCATCCCTCTCCTAAGACTTACAGGGTTTGTTCTCCTCTTGTGGCAGAACAGCTCCTGTGAGCACTGTCTCTTTCCTGAACCACATCTCATCTCTGGCGTTTTAGAAGATAAGGTTGAGTGAATAAATTTTGGAGGTTCAGTGTGATATATGTGATGAGGAATTGATGTGTATAGCTATCCATGCAGTAGACTTGTTCCAAAATATTCCAAAATACCTCTCTAAATTACATAGGCTTCTTTTGATGATTGTATGTCTGGAACTGATGAAAGAGAGAAGAATGGAAGTGTTTTAGCTTCATTTGTAAAGTATTGTAAAAAATAAATGCTTGAATATGTTTTCAGAATGTTAATTTATATTAAAGATCTCTTGTCTAAAAATTTCAAGTTTGGTAGCGGTGGCTAAAATTTTGATGGGCAATGTTGCATATTTTGAAAAGTCAGTGACTATTAATGTCAGCCTTGGAAATTCTCAGTAATCTGTCCTTGACAAAGTTACTTTGTGTGGAAATCCCTTTTTGACCAAAGCAATTCTGTGGTTTGGGCAAGTGTATGCCCTCTTTTTTATAAGACTTCTGGTAATACATTCCAAAAATATTTGCATTTGGAAGCATATGCAACTGTAACTTTTTCTCCAAATATTTTCACGAGTTGGAGGTGCTCAGTGGCCTCATGTTGTGTGTTGTTCATATAACTGCAAAATAGCAAGTGAAGGCTGTAAATTAATCACGGTACAGATAAAACATTAACATCAGTGCATGTGAATGGAAGTGTAGCTAAATCTTTTTTTCTTTTTTTCCCCTCTAGTATATATCTTTAATTCAAATGGCATGGCAAGTCCTTGATTTTTCTTTTTTTTCCTCCCCTCTCTTAGTGTCAGTATTATCAGGAACATGCTTCTGTATTGGAAAACCAGCCTTCAGGGACAGTAGTACTGCAGGTTGAAGCCACTGATGCTGATGAAGGAGCCAATGGTATAGTGAAATATGGCTTGATGCACAGAGGTGGTGTCTTACCAGCATTTAGTATTCATCCTAACACAGGTAAAGCGAATATCAGAACTGATACTGGCATATAGAAACCACTTCATTACACTGATGGAAAAAAAGCTTAAATAAAATCAGACTTCGTGCTTTTTCATTGAGTTTTTTGATAGCAGACAAAATATAAACTGCATGTATTAACGCATGAACAAATATTCTCCCTTTAGTTTCATACATGTCCAATGCTGAACTAGAACTCATGTTTTCCCTGAAATGTGGAAGTTCTGCTGTGTGAAATAACTTCTGTGTTTTTGTAACTAGCTTAAAAAAACCCACCATATTTTAAGTGCACATTATCTTGCAACATTGCTAATGGCATATAAATGATTTATCCAAATGACAGTAGTCTTACAAACAGCAGAGACTAAGTCTTGGAAGGACAAAACTAAATTCAGGCTGAACTTTTGGAGTATAAAAGACATGAAACATGCCTTTACCCTGTACTTACTGCTCTTCAAAAGAGATATTTTTTATAAACTGATTCTCTTAAAGTTAGTTTGGTACTTATCTCTGTTTTCTAAATTTAAGTCCAATTGTGTGTAGATCTAAGTGTACATGAAGTTTGTATCTGCCTGAGCAGTACAATTTAAGCTGTTGAAATTGTTAAATATTGTGATTGGATCCTTGAACCTGAAGGTCACATTATATGTGTATTTAACCTATTGCATTGTATCTCAATGTATTGACAGACAAATAAATATCTAAATGTAAAATGTTGTCAAATGCATAGTATTTTAACTCTCTGGTATTTAATTTGTTTTCAGGAGTTCTGACAACTGTTCAGGTATTTGATCGAGAAAAACAGAGGGAATATCCTATCACTGTGACAGCAACAGATCAGGCAGCGGAACCACTCATTGGAATATGTCAGATAAATGTTATCATCCTGGACCAAAATGACAATGATCCCAGATTTGAAAACACCCAATATGAATGTAATTGAGAGTCATTGGATAGAGTTTCGGTGCCCTGAGTGTGAGCTTACCTGATGTCTAAGATTTTTGGGTTTTGTCTTTCTTGGCAGTAGATCTTGTGACCAACTAGGTGATTGCAGCCAGAGATGCACTTACCTTAATTAATTGCAGAACTGTTATTCTGTGTAATGTGCAATGTAACAAGTACAGTCTTGACTGGTAGGCCTTCCTGAGTGGTGTTATGGGAAAACTCCTTGAAACAATAGCCATGTCAATATCTTTCCTTACCTGAGTATACAAAGTGTCTGTAGTACTACACAGAGATGTGAAGGTTGTAATAAGCATGTGAGTGTGCAGCGCTGAGCACTAACTGTATCCTTCGTTTTCTGACCAATAGATTTTGTCAACTTTTGATTACATACTTTTCCTTTTCCCATTTGAATTTCATCATTCTTCATTGTTTGTTGTTTTACCTTTCCTTCCTGGTTCTTCAAAAAACCCTTCCTGGTTATGGATAAACACCCAGAGGCATGTATAATATTAATAAAAAAATGAAGACTGTTAATTCTCAGTTAGTTATACTATGCAAATCCTAGAAAGTAGTTTCTGACAATGGGGTCCTTTTCTTCTGCTTTTATGCAATAAATTAAAATTCCATTTCTGTATATTTCATACAGAGCAATTAGTCCCTTAGTAAAAATACAAGGCCAAAAAAAGAAGTATTATCTTATGAGAAATAAGAATTCCAGGTTATGAATGTGATAATGTGAGGTTCAAATGTGATCCGTAGCTCTGGAGTGATAGCAGCTCTTTAAAATACTCATTTTGATTTTTATGGCCATTGTTCCAAGGAAGATAAAGTTATAGCTTCTATACATTATTACCTCAGTATTTCTTCATTTCTTAGTAAGATATTCATGGTACTTTAGTGAATTAATGATCAGTTTGAAATATCCTTTCCTTACATTAGATTTCCTAAGAGAGGACACAAGAGTTGGGACCAGTTTTCTTCGTGTTGCAGCCCATGATGACGACTACAGCTCAAATGCTGCCATTACATATTCGATAGCGAACGAAGAACCAAATTATTTACAAATTAATCCTACTACAGGCTGGGTGTTTGTGAACCAACACATATCTCAGGTATGGTGCTTGCTTTCCTTTTTAAGCTGTCTATCTCAGGAGGGACTGAGATCATGAGTTTGTCCTTACCTCCATGTTACCCCTTCACATTAAAGGATCGATATGTCATGTTTAAATTAAACGTGAGTCTAAGGCTTTTGCTGATGAGTTCATTGACTGTGAATTGCATATAAGCAAGCCCTGCTTTCAGCTGGAAAGCTGACAGCACTGCCTCTGAGAGCTTGTTCTTCCTATTTCATTAGCTTTGGCATACTAATACCAAGGACTGGAGGGCTGAGACCGTAGGCAGGGGAGCAAGAACCCAGGTGTAGGACTTAACTCATTGACTGGTAACATAGTGAAGACACAAACCTGAATGTGACAGAGTGTGAAATTTTACTTCTGATACAGATCCCTAACTTGATACATGTTAGTCATGGTGGACTAAGCATAGCTATCCCTCAGGAAGGTGAAGGCATAATGAACAAAATTGTTGCATGTAGTTATTTAAAATTTACCAGTTTCAGCCATACCTACATAAGCAGTTTGATATTTTCAGAGTTGTAAAGTAATTTGTGTTGAAATGAAAATATTGTTGTAGATGTCAATCTTTAAATAACTAGCAGATATTTTTTACATTGAAATTTAACTTCTAAGTAACTGACACACAAAACTTTGGTGAAGGCATATCCTTTTAATATATTTTCTTTATTGAATGTAAGAACCCTACAGACCTAATAACAAAAACTGTTGATAGGTAAGCTTAAAAACTGGGTGGCTCTACAAAGTGGGGGTTCTTTTGTTTTGTTTTAAACTTTGTGTGAAATTTGCTAAGGTTTATTGAGACAAATGGCAACATTTTCCAGCAGTCTTAAGTAAAGCAAATAGCAGAATTTTCAGCAACCTTGCACCTACTTCATATTCTGAGCTCAGTATTCTGCAGTTGTGGGTGTTTTTCTTCTGTGCAGGTTTTTTTAAGTGTGCCTTTAATTTTATGTATTCATTTATTTTGAAGGAAAAAAAATAAAATAGCTCATCAGAGCCCTGATAAAAACCCTTTGTAACAAAACCTTTTTTACTGTTCAGAGGTCATCTATAATTCGAGAGATTGTTGCTACAGATGGAGGTAATAGGAGCAGTAAAGTTGAACTTGTGGTAACTATTACCAGTGCAAAAAACCAGCCTCCGCAGTGGGAAAGAGACAGCTATGAAGTTGTTATTCCAGAGAATACTACACGAGATGCATCAATTTTGGTAAGGTTGGGACAGACTTGTTTGTCTGTCTGTGGCTGTAAGGCTATAGAGTAACTGAACGTTGCTTATTTGCTTAAATATAGTGAGCTTTTATAATAATTCTATGTACTGTAGGGACCAATGATATGCTATCAATTTTCTTTCAGAAGTGCTAACGGTAACCAGCATTTTTGCTCTAATTTATATGTGTGCAGCCACTATTTAATTTCCTTCCCGTTTGAACAGCACTATGGGTATTCCAGTTTTTTGAATGCTTCTGTGTTACCTGAGGTGATTATTGGGCTTAGATTACTTAGAGTTGTTCAGATGGTTTGCTTGGAATAAGTAATCGGAACAGCTTTATGAAGTAACTCCAAAATACGTATTTTTAGGATAAAAGTGTGAGTAACCAAACATGTAATGACTGGTAACCTTTGGCTGCAGCTATTTGTGGCCTGGAGATGTGTCAGGCAGGGTTAAGTTTTGGTATTAGGAAATACTTGTCCTAGTGTTTTTGGTTGAGAGATGAAGATCTGGGAGAGTCAATACACAAAAGCTTTTAGAAATGTTGCTGTACTTACAGAAGTGTTGATTGCGCGAACTTTTTGAACTGTGCAGACAATCAAAGCAACTTCTGCCCTTGGTGATCCCCGTGTGACTTATAACCTAGAAGAGGGACTTATTCCAGAGACCAACATGCCAGTTCGTTTCTACCTGACTCCAAACAGACGTGATGGTTCTGCTTCAATCCTGGTAGCTGAGCCACTAGATTATGAAACAACAACGAGCTTTCTACTGAGGGTTCGAGCACAGAACGTTGCTGCGGTTCCTCTGGCAGCATTCGCTACGGTCTATATTAATGTAACAGGTGTGTAAGCTGTTCAGTGATGTTATGCTATCATCATAGTACTTCTTTTTTTCTTTTTCTTTCAATTTTTATAGTTTTCTCTTTATGTGCTGTTTTTGATGTTTTAGACGTCAATGACAATGTCCCATTCTTCACTTCATCTATTTATGAAGCCTCGGTAACAGAGGGAGCTGGTGTTGGGACATTTGTCGTTCAGGTGTCTGCCACCGACCTTGACCTTGGTCAGAATGGTGAGGTAAGCAAGTGGGGACCTACATCTTCCATGATGAAAGGTATGGAATAACTTCGGTGTGAACAATGGCTAAATAGACTAGAAGTCTTCAACCTAGAAAAGAGATGACTAATAGGGAAACATGAGGTGAAATAAAGTAATTACTTACATGTTTCTCTGTCTTGCCATGTGAAAAATGCAACTAAAACTAGTAGGTGTGAGACAGAAAACAAAGAAGAAATATTTATACAACCTGTAGTTCAGGTGAAAAACTTGCTACAGAATGCTCTGGTTTGTAAAGGTCTACATAGACCTAAAATGTGATTGGACAAATTAATGGAAGAAAAAATGTGTTAAAAGCTTCTGGAAGTTGTAGATCATTGGGGATACTGAAAACTGAATCCTTACAAAATATGTCAAGTTAACACCAAAAGTGGGTGTATTCATTACTGATTTTAAAAATCTAAAGTAGGTATATCCTTAGAACAAGAGTGCAAGCTGAAGTCAAGTGCACGAAAACATATATATACTAGAGACTAGAACATGGTCCATGATACTGAGCAAGTTCAAATTCAACTCACCTGTGGCTATTATATTAGTACCTGGGATCTTTAGCTGAGTTTGAGTGCTGTTGCACAAGCACTGTGCAAAGGTGAACTAGAGAACTTGGGAACTGATTAGATGACATTTATTTCCATTTACAGATTGGCAGTCAACACGCAAGGATGTTAATTGACTTCAAACTAGATTGATCAAGCTGGCAGTTTTACCCAGCTTTCTTGGCCCTGATCAAGTTCTCAAACACAACACTGTTCTTCCTCTCGCTAAGTACTCATTTAGTTGTGAACTATCCAACAAAAGGAAAGTATAAATTAACGACTTGTTTTTAATCCTTTAGATAACTTACTCCCTGTTACATGATAGTGGCAGAGACTACACATATTTTCGCTTGGACTCACAGACAGGCTCAATATACACTGCCTCAGTGTTTGATAGAGAGAAGAAAGGATCTTATCTTCTAGAAGTCAAGTCAGTAGATGGCTCTGAATCAGCTCGACCTGGAAAACGTGGGAAGCCAAACTCTGGTAAGAGACAGATGTCTGTGACAAGCATGATTTTACCTGGATTGGTAAAACAAAAAACCAGAAAGCTCTGAAATGCAAGATTAAATGTTAATTTCCTTTTTTTCAAGTGTACTTGTGAAAGAGGGTCTGTTGTTTTGGTTGGGAGGGGGCGGGGTTTACTGTTTGTCTGTGAAAAAAAAAAGAGTGTCTGTTGTTTTGGTTGGGAGGGGGCGGGGTTTACTGTTTGTCTGTGCAACAAGTTGTGTCAGAGCTGGAAGAGATATTTTATATGATGATCAGGCAAGTTTTGTGTTCTGAAATTAAAAGAAAACTAGGGCTTCATGGCTAGAGTTTAGAGAGTATTTCCTAGCTAGCAAAGATGCACCCATTATCCGTAGGATGCAGATCTTTGGGTAGTGGAGGTGTTTCTCAAAGCACTGCATATGGTACTGTATTCAGTCAGAAGTAATTATGAAGTATGAAGCAGGAAACTTCAAGATAGAAAATCCCATTCTCAGTTGTCGGCTGTGCTTAAAGAAAGACTTAAAATTTGGCTTTTGTGGCTTCAGGACAAAAAGTTATGACTAAAAACTGTACAATTGCCATATTAGACATCAATTATTCACATATTATCTGTTTAAACAAATTGGATGTGACATTCATTTGATATCCAAGTGCTTTTGAGTAATGTTGGTATATATATTGTCCACAACCCTAAGGGTTTGTTTCTGTATTGTCTGCATATTCGTCTTCATTTAATGTGCAGCTAGACAGTTTAAGGAATTGTAGCTGACAGAAGTGGCACAGCTGAGTATTTTAATCTCTTGTTTCTTGTCTCTCTAGACACGGCCTACGTGCACATTTTTATCACTGATGTGAATGATAACAAGCCTGTCTTCACTCAAAGTGCCTATGAAGTAAATGTGGATGAAGACCAGGATGTGGGCTCAACTATCATTATAGTCAGTGCTAATGATGAAGATGAAGGTAAAGTATTGGAATTCCCCATAGCTGTGTCTAAAATATTAATAAGTTAATTTCAGCACACCAAGACATATTTAGTGGTGTTAGAAAGGAAAATGTCTTTTTGTCTCTAGTTCTTAAAACTTCTTTAAGTGTGAACTGATCGGGTATGAACGTTAGTTCGTAATGGAGCTGTGAGGCATAAGTCAAATAACTTATTTCGGGAGGCAATGCATTAATGTGGGATGATGGGGAATAATTTTTGTGCCAGCAAATACAAATTTATTATAGATCATACCATTTTCTTACAAATGGGCGCCAATAAAAATGTCCTGGTTAACTAGAATGAATCAGACTTGATTTCAATGAGATTCATTTGCTTTCTCTACGGACAGTGTAGTTGTATTGTTCTTTATTTTTTTGGTACACATTCTCATATTTGAAACTAGGCTTTCTAAATGCATATGATGAGTCTTAGCTATACTGCTTTATCTACAAATCAGTCAGGAATTCAGCCATAAGTCATGTAAAAATAAGTACATAACCAGTGCTGATAAATGAGAGAAGGAATGGTACAGACTTCAATCTTTTGGCCATGGTGCACTACTAATTTGACTTTGCTGTATGGTGAAACCATACTTTTTTTGTTGTGCAAGTCCCAAAGGACTGTTCTGTCCATACAACTGTGAAGTGCAAGTACATCTTGCAAGTCCCAAAGGACTGTTCTGTCCATACAACTTTGAGTGCATTTGATTCCTCACCCACTCAAAGAGGTTGAGGCAAATGGGGGTGAGTTGTACTGAAGAAGGATTTACCTACTCAGGGAACTTTTAGTTTGTTACTTAGGCTGGCTGTAAATCTACTCTATAGTGTTGGATCAGGGGACCTGATGTAATGGATATATGGCACTTCATTTCTGTCCTCTTAATATAAGTAAATGATTAAAGATGTAGCTATGAAACGGAAGAAGAGAAAAACGGTAACGTGAAGGTAGAGCTTGCAGAAAGGCTAAAAGTCTTTACTTGATCTAAAACCATCAGTAAATTGGTACTGCATCTGAAATTTTGAGAAGTTCTGTTAGGACTGTCTCCTCTGGCTTGATACATAATTATCCTGTTTGTTGATAAAGTCTATGCATAAATGAATATGAGCGCAGAATGGTTCTACAGTATGAAGTATTTTATGATAACTCATTCTTACATGCTGGGTGTTAGCAAATAAGAATTTGTCTTTTTGGTCCCACAGCCTTGGCCAGTCATATTGTCCTTCAGTGAATTCGAGGGATCATAAGTAAAGGCAGAATTAATACTTCATTGCAAAGACACATTTTATAATTAGACACAAATTACAATTGGACATACTAGAATTGAAAATGCCGATAAATAATCTGACATAGCTGCATGTTTTAAAAGACCACAAAACTACAATACCAAAAATCAGTTAGGGTGTGATTTGTACTTCATCTTAACATCCAATGTTTTAATCTACTTCAAGAAATGTGTGTTTTCTGACACTGTTGGTAATTGACAGGAACAAATGCTAAATTACGGTATCAGATCACAGCTGGAAACACAGGAGGAGTACTTGATGTAGAACCAGAAACAGGAGCCATTTTTATTGCCCAACCACTGGACTATGAAGAAACAAAAATGTATGAGATTCACTTGTTGGCCTCTGACGGGAAATGGGAAGATTATGCAGTTATCATCATCAGTGTCATGAATAAAAATGATGAGACTCCAGTTTTCTCTATCAATGAATACTATGGAAGTATAATTGAGGAACTGGATGGGTTACCAGTCTTTGTACTTCAGGTAGTGTATGCAGTTTCAGAGATTATAATATTTCAATGAAAGAGCACAGATTACTCTGGTACAATTATGTTAATAATAATCCAGCACAGATATATTAATGAAGTTTAGTTTTACTGAGTTTTTTTGCCAGTGGAAGAAGAGAATTGGACTTTTACGGAAAAATAATTACAAAGATAGTAAGTAAGATAAGCAAGATGGATAGTTTGTGATCCTAAAAAGCAAATCATTAACATTTTAAAGTAGCTGCCAGAATAGCATAGTTAAATTACCTCTACAAATATGAAAAAATAAAATATTATTTTAGTATTAGAATAACTACATTGTTATTGTAGTGCAAAGCATATTTACCTACTCTGAATTGTCCCTCAGCCACCTCTCATTTGCCATTCATCTGGCATGCACATATTAATAGCATGTCGTATACTTTTGCTTGGACTCCTTTAGACTGTAGCAGCGTATAGGATATAATGCAGTCACTGCATATTTTATAATTTCTATGTCTTTGTTTTCAAAACTTTTGTAGGTTATGGCAAATGATCCTGATAGTAACGTGGATGAAGGAGATTTGAGATACTCATTGCATGGGCACGGTGCAGCTGATATTTTCACAATAGATGAGAAAACAGGCAGCATTTACTCACACAAGATGCTGGATCGGGAAGAGAGAGCACTGTGGAGATTTGTTGTATTGGCTACTGATGAAGGTGGAGAAGGACTTACGGGATTTGCTGATGTAATTATTAATGTGTGGGATATAAATGACAATGCACCCATGTTCACATGCATGCCTGATGATTGCAACGGGAATGTCTTTGAAAATTCTCCTGCAGACACATTAGTCATGGAAATGGGTGCAGTTGATCGTGATGATCCAAATGTAGGTCTTAATGCTGTCCTGACTTACAGGATAACAGAGAATGTAAAAAATGAGTTTGGTACTGACATGTTTAATATCAATCCCAATATTGGTACAATCCACGTTGCGGTAGGAATGCTAGACAGAGAAAGGACTGCAAGTTATTTTCTAACTGTTGAAGCAAGAGATGGGGGAGGGCTAACAGGAACTGGCACTGCCACTATCTGGATTGCAGATGTCAATGATCATGTACCTAAATTCACAAAAAAGATGTGGCAGGCAACAATTCCTGAAAACAGTGCCATCGACTCAGAAGTTCTGCAAGTGTGCGCTACAGATGCAGATGTTGGGGAAAATGCTGACTTAACATTCAGTATCATCGGGGGAGACCCAGATCAGAAGTTTTATATTGAGAATGGCAAAGAATGGCAATGTGCCACTATTCGACTGAAAAAAAAATTGGATTTTGAGAATGCACGTGAAAGGCAGTTTAATCTTACTATTACAGTGGAAGATTTTGATTTTTCTAGTATTGCAGTGTGCCTGATTGAAGTTGAAGACTCTAATGACCACAGCCCTGTTTTCCTTTCTCAGTTTATTCAGACAAGCCCTTTCGTTGAAAACGTGCCTGTAGGTACTACAGTAACCACAGTGAGAGCTACAGACAAGGATTCTGGTTTGAATGGGAACATTATCTATTCTATAAAGTCAGATTCGGATCCTATGAGACAGTTTGTGATTGATCAATATGGTCATGTGATTGTGGCAAATACACTAGATCGTGAAGTCATGCAAAAATACAGTTTAGTTGTACAAGCTTCAGATCAAGGGGCACCTGCCCGCACTGGAAATGTTACAGTTTTGATTAACTTGCTTGATGTTAATGACAATGGACCAAGGTTTGAGGCACCATACATGCCTGTAGTTTGGGAAAACATGAAGCCTGAAATAGTGTATATGAACCATACATCAGAATTGCTTCATGCATTTGATCCAGACAGTGAAGAAAATGGGCCACCTTTTACATTTTCATTGCCACCAGATTATCAGAATTCTTTGGATTTTTCTCTTACTGACAACAGAAATAACACAGCAACTGTAACTGCTTTGAGGTCCTTTGACAGAGAAAAGCAGAAGGTGTTTCATCTGCCAATAGTTATAACAGATAGTGGGATTCCAGCCATGAGCTCTACAAACACCCTAACTATAACAATTGGTGATGAAAACGACAACTGCCATGAATCTGGCTATAAGGAAGTCTATGTGTACAGTTACAAAGGTAAGTGCTATCTGGATATTATAATCAGATTGACGAATATAGCACAGTTTTACACATAATTTCTGTCTTGCAGTTCTTAATTTTTTTTTAAAATGGTTTACATATTTTGAAACTGAAATGCCAATTCTGTAAACTACTAAATAAAGTGGAACGAGTGAAATATATTTGCAAAGCTCAGACCCTAGTGTGTAAAAGATCATCTACCAAAAAACTGTTAGCTGCAAACAAGTATATCTTGCACATGCAGGAAAAGCACTATTTTTATAAACCAATAAAACCTATTTTCCATTGACCAGTTTTCATCTACACAGAGGAAAAGGTTTTTGCGTGTGCACACATGATTCGGAAAGTACCTGATGCTGAGAGATCTGGAGGTGAGAATGGCAGAACTGAAGCAACTTAGAGTAACAGAGGTTCATAGATGAGCCCTACCCAGAAATTGTAGACCAGTCCCACCTCCACTGTGACAGCCACTGTGTGGCTGAGCAGGATAGAAATCTTGAGGAGGGCGGTTTTCTGCTGGCAAGAAAGAATCCGAGAGAAAGCTGGGTCAGTGCTTTTTTTAGGAAAAGAATAATCTTTGGGGTGCAGTAAGTGACTGCTTCCTAGAACACATAGTCTTTGAACTGGAAAAAAAGATGTGTTCTTGAGCGGTGCACAGTACCTAGTTCAAGAAATACCAGCAGGAGAGCTGCTCTGTGATAGCAGCCACAGTACTGTGAGGTTTAATGTAGTGGGAGAGAGCAGAGGAAATGCATCCATTAAGCGAATGCTTTATGTTTTCTCATCAGGGTGGTTTAGCAGAGGATGAACTGTTTAATAATATTTTCTAAACTTTGTCTTGAATTTCTATTACTGTGTTTTTTCCTGAAATTACCTGTAAAACTTGACCTTAAACTAGTCCTGGTGGCCCTTATTAAGCATGGTTTATTACGCCTTTCCCCAAATATTCCATTCCAGATAGACTTGGCTATATCTCAGTTATCATTGAAATGGTAGAATTTCTGATAAATATTAGAGAAGATTAATCTACAGAAGGTATTTTTGCAATGAGTTATTTTTGCTGAATTCGGCATGCCTAAATTAGAAAAAGATGTGACCAGATCCTGCCATACAAATGAGAGAATGAAGTTTCTAGGGTGGATTGGCTCCAGATTTGAAGCTTAAAAATTTCCCATGTTGCTGGATCTTGGCTGTGGAATTCAAAGGTCTCCTTCCCTGGAGTTGCTCGTTTTGCTATTCTAGAACAGCTACTTGGATGTTCCTCTTCTGTGACAGCCCACAGGGGCCTGAAAAAAGGGCCAAGAACTGGCACAGCTTGGTGGCTTCTTGCCCATTTCCTTTTCTCAGTCACGTCCTTCTCTCCCAGCTGCGCCCCACAAGATGCCTTCCCTTTTTTGCTGGATTCCACTGGTGTGGCATTTGAAATAGTAGAATAGCAATGAAACATTTGGGGATTAACTCCTGATGTGGTGATTTTTTTTTTTTTTTTTTTTTGGACGGAGAATTTTATATAGCGTTGTATTCATGTATCATTCTGTTGTTGTTTTGTGTTGTTTTGAGCTTTTCTTCTCTCATGTGACATCCATAGTGTACTCACCTTTCCAGAACTGGCAGGCTATGCATTATTTTAAGAATCTTGGATCATAACCACCACCAAATTGAGCAGGAATCTGAAATACTGAAAATACTAAATGCAGTAATTAATGTGGCAGAATATAAAGTGCACCGAAAAGCAAAAATTAAATGCAGATGTGTTATAATTTATCTCAACAGGAAAATGGTCAACAACAGTGCTTGGGGAAGTGTTAGCACCAGATCAAGATGACTGGGACAATAAAACATTTCTCTCTGAAGGAAAACTGCTCAAGTGAGGATTGTATTTGTGTCAAAATGAGTAATATTTATGCTTCTGTAATTATTTTACTCGCCATGTATTTCTTTGTGTTCAGGTTGGGCATAAAGCCAGGGTTATTGAGTGTATTAAAGAATGTACCTTCTGAATGCTCTTTCTCTTTTTTACTTGAGTAACTATGTATTAAGAAATTAATGCATGAAATATTTTTTCCAAGAGAGTGCAGGATCACACCATGATGTGGATTCTTAGTCAGATGTCATCATTAATTTATTTAAAAATGTGCATTCTGTAAGATCTAATTTAAAAATAGGCAGAGTTTTTAATACTTGCCCTCAAATGTTAGAGTTGATGGAATACAAATCCCAAATTTAAAAGGGCAGAATGGAATAATTTCATCAAAAGTGGAAAGGAATTTGGTGATCTCCGTTGATGGCTAAATTTACAATTGTGTGCGAAAACCAAGACTCTTAGATTAGTGGAGTTTTTTCTGTTAATCGAAATGTTGAACTGGATCCTCAATTCCTACTTACACGTTATTTGTTCATATCATAAAGTGAGCTGGTGTATAGCATGATTGTATGCTGTTCGAAGTACAGAAAATGGACGTGAAAACGAATGTGAATTTTTGTCTCCATTGTGAATAATAGTTCAAAAGCTTTATGTAGCCCAAAATTAAAGACTCACTTTCTGTCCATCAGCAACCCCTGGGTCTTTTTCCATGTTAACAGGTTACTGTTCCATAATAGTGGTCATGGAATATTTCCATAATTACTGATTACTGTCCCTTTGAGGTGGCAAATGAAGATGATATCAGAGATTTCATACAGACTTTATCCTGTTCCGGATGGATAAATGAGCATCTGGAATGACTTTGTGTGGTTTTGTCAGTTTCTATTACTTATGTCACAGACCAGCCCCTGATGACTATGTTGAACCCCATGGTTCAACTACACGCTGCTTTTATTCAGGATTGGGAAAGTCTGGGGATTTGGGAGTGCAGAAACGTCTTTTTATAAGCTCTGCAGATTGTCATTTCTGAATTAAGGTGTTTCTGGTGCTGTTCTGATGTTGGTTGCTAATTCCCATAAGTTTTGATCCTACAACCTTCATAGTAACGTTTAAGGCCTTCTGAATTATGTTAATGAATAAGTAAGTTCTCAATTTCGATTTATTACGGTTTCCTAATCAAAGGTTTACGTCTAGGTCTTTCAGATTAAATCAGAGGACTGGTTCTTTGATGATGGTGGATAACACTCCTCAAGGAATACACAACTTAAAAATTAGAGTTTCTGATGGAGTTTGTCCTGATGTTATATCTACAGTACAAATCCATGTCAAAGAGCTGGAAAATGAAGCCATACAAAACTCAGCCACTGTGCGTCTGTCAGGTTGGTTTTATTTGCTGGTGAGAGTTTAGATGAGCTGCTTCTATAACTGAATGATTGTGTGTGATGTAGGTATTATTATATCAATACTTGATTTACTTATCACTGTAGGGCACTTTCTGGTATGTTTCCATATTGTTAAATAAGAAATAAATTGAGAAATTAGCCTGTGGTCTCCTACTATTTCATGTTTATCTATTTTTGAATCCCAAACTCAGATGTCACAGCAGAGGAGTTCATAAGGAGAGATGAACATGGCAAAACGAGATATGACAAGTTCAAGGAATTACTAGCAAAAATGTTACCTGCTAAGCTTATTGATATCGTTGTCTTCAGCGTGATGAACACTGACGGAAAACAGACAGATGTAAGATTTGCAGTCCATGGTGGCTCGGCGTATTACAGACCTGAGAAACTGCATGCTCAGATGGCAGCATTTAAAAATGAGGTATATTCTCTAGGGTTATCATGCATCTATGTAGTTCACCCAAGTACTGAGTTTGCAAGGTATATATCCCAAACCTCAGTGAAAGAATATTCTAGATCTACAGATAAGGTTTTTTTGCTTCACTTGAAACAAAAACACTTGTCAAGCAAGTGCTTAATTCAAGCTTTCTCCCTTCTCCTTAGTCCCATACATACAATTATTATATGGTCGTATTAACTTCTGCTTCAATAAATATAACCACTTTTTAGTTGCAGAAAGATGGTTCTCCATTCCCATCATGGTACAGTTAACTGTGTTTTCTCCAGTCAGTGTTTCATTGTGTAATCTATCAGACTTTTGAATATGAAAGCAGAAGAATCCCTAAAAGCCAAAGTGGTACGTAGTATAGAGAACGTCTTGAAAAATGACAGCTTTTTGGACGTTCCATATGCTGATGGAAATACCCAAGGCATCAGCTTGTTGTTAGACACTTACAGTAGAGGCTTGATGCCACCCAAATAGAAATTCTACTGTACAAAGAGATGGTAGTCCGTAGAAGAAAATCCTGCTGGAAGGAATATGCAGGTTAGAAGAACAGTTAGAACAGATAAGTGAGATGGAGACAACCAATTTTGTGATTGTATTTAACTCACCCAAGGACAACTTTAAATACGAAGTGACACCCTCCCCCAACTTTTTTTACTGTTTTTTACTGTTATAGGGTGAAAATAGTTTTTGAATGTAAGAGGTTTTCTTCCATTTCCTGATGTTCACTAACTGTCCTACTCTCTTACCAGATCCTGCATGCCCTCTAACTCAGTTACCCAGACACACTCTGTCTTGGCCCCACTTTTATTTTCTGTAGTCCTCCAGATTTTGGCTTTGCTGAAGTACTGCAGATGCTGCTGAATAGACACTAAAGCTGCTGCCTTGCACAAAGGCAAGATGCCACTGCTTGGCTTGTAACTTGCCCTGGACAAGGCAGCACTTCCTGACATGTCATTTGTGGCTCTGGGGACACGTTTGAGTTTAATACGTGGTACATCTTACGGAGGATTTTTCCTGAAGAGAAAACAGCACTTTCCATTTGTTTGAATATGGTAGGGTCTGCATTATTCTGGTGACCAAACATCAGGAATATCTTAACTTACTACCTGCCTACATCTTTACTGTGTCTTAAATAGTTGGGTGGATTATGAGACTCTTCAGAGTGACCAAGAAGGAAATACCAGAGACAGATAGTATTCATGAAGCATAAAGACTGCTTCTTTTGCATATTTATTGAATAACTGCAACAATAATATAGAAAATTGCATAGATTTCAAATATTCTGTGCCATAATATATGGCAGGTAAATTCATTGAAGTGGTAATAAGGGCATTGCTTCACATATTTTAATGAAAAAATATGTCTGTATTGATTATATATCACCTTTCAATATTTAATGAATAGCTCTAGTGAATAGTCACCAACAGTTTACAGAAAACCAATCATAGCTGGAGAATTTCTCCAGTAGTTTTTGTACATGTGTTTAACTATAAATGTAGAAAATAAGTAATTAGCACTGAAATTATTCATTGAATTGCTAAATAAATAATATGTTTGCATTACCTCCTTGGGATATAGCTTTACAACAACTATTTTTATTTAGCAGAAAAATAATCCATCCTGATATTGTAAAGGAGCCAAGGTTGTTTATATACACTATGTTTTTCTGTAACAGTATTACCTAGCTGTCTAAATGTGCATTGTAGACTCTCCACTAATGGTGATAGATGTGGGCAGCAGACACGAAACTGCATTGACAGGATGCATCATGTCATTATGAAGTATATTTTATGCCTTTGGGGACATGTTTTTCAATACATGTTAGGACGTTTGAGGATATACTAACAATTGATTATAAAGGTCAAAGTTCTTACAGTGGTGAATTGAGATGACTACACAAGTTACATAAATACTAAAGCACTTCTATTTTTTTTTGTGTTTTGGTCTCTTCAAAGCTTATTTTTAAAATATTTGTCATACATGTTATCATTTGAAAAAATACCTATTAAATGTATAAAAAAAGAGTGTCTAAGCCTGATCTCATGTTGGTAGTTTTACATTTTTATACCTCAGTGTATACGACTGTGAGAGTAGTGCTCTCTTGTATTCAGGTTTGGGCACTAAATACACGTCATTTTAATGTATTCGAATCACCAGATACAAATCAAAATCTGAAGCTTTATAGGCACCTGTGCAAAATCCCCAAACAAGCAGAAGGAAGAAATCTGTTGTGCCAGAGAACAAACTTAGTGATAACTTAATCCAGTGCGTAGGCTACTGGCTGAAATACAGAAGGTCTGAAATAATGGCAGCCCTGTTACTGGCCTCAGGTTTATGGTGAACAGCTTGCTTCCCTTCTTTGTGCTTTCTGCTCGTTCTTTGATCTGTTTGGATTAGAAATTGCTAACTGCGGAGACACTATTACTACCTTACAAGACCTATATATACAGTGAGGCTCTTCTCTTTGGGTATTTGAGCTTTCAGGTGCAACCTCAATTAATGATAAAAACAATGAACTAGCAAAGGTTAACATAGAACAGAATATAGTATCCAGTATGCTGAGTTGACTGCATTTTGTTTCAGACAGTTTGACATTAAATGTAAGTTTATGGGGCACAAATCAGTAGGCTGAATTCTAATTGCTACGAAGTGGTCTTGTCAGGCCACTGTCTGTGGACATTATTATTGAATGCAGCTCAGCCCTGCATTTTCCTGTGTCTGTATCCTTACGTGTGAGAGAACGTAAGAAATAATATCTGGGTATAACTCATGAAGAAGAATTTTTATCCTGGCTTGACCTAAAACATGCCTGTTGCTATCAGGGTGCAGAGAAGTGTGATGCAGACAGCACAGCTTGGAAGGTGGAGTATCACTGCTCTCGAAGCTTTGGTCCTCAGAAATAATGTTAGTAGACCAGTACAGATTTAACATGTTCACAGTCAATCGTGTCAATGATTAAGTTTTTAGGAAATACTGCTACTGTAATTTTTTGAAATTTTCCTGTATTTGTTAAATCATTTTGTTTGCCTGCATAGTCAAGGATGTTACTAATTAATACTCAAGAAAGTAAGTAAAAGTAAATAAAAGCATTCATTAGGAAGAGGCTGGTGATGTGTTAAACTGTATTTTCTCTTAGATCCAGTCAGCTTTACAATTGAACATTTCACAGATCGATGTAGATGAATGTAGGAGTGCAAATTGTAGTGAGGGCAACAGTTGTACAAACGACCTCACCGTGAGTGACATCCCAACAGTGATGGATACTGGAAGCCTGTCATTTGTCTCGGTAACAACCACCATCAATGCGGTCTGCACCTGTTCAGCTAGGGACAGAGTTCATCGGTCTTGTTCCTCCTACTCTCAAAGCCCTTGTCTCAATGGTGGAATGTGTATTGACACTTTGAATGGTTACAGGTGAGGAAAGTTGTATTGCAGATTCTCTTTTTTCTTCTGTTTTTAAAGTGTCGAGTGGTGCTTACAAGGTCTAAAAAAAAATCATAAATGTACTTCTGACTGAAGGAGAAACAAAAAAACCCCATGAGTGCGCTGGAGTGTAAATCTAATGACAACAGTCTTCACTAATGGCCCAATAATGGTGCTGTAGTCCTGAAAGCAGTGGAAATAGTGTGTGAGTAAGAAAGAAAACCCTGGGGCAAAAACGGTGGTATAATTAACACATGTCATTTTTTAAGAGCACCTAGTTCAGTATGAAGGAATGGGAAGTGTGCTCTGTTTTTTTTTTCTTTTTCTTTTCCAGAAGAGTAATGATAAAAGTGAATACCAGTGGTAGCAGCAGAGATGTAGGGGGAGTGAAATGTAGTTCAAACAATGGGTAATAAGGAGTTTAGAAAATACTAGATAGGAAACTTGCTGTATTGTAGCATCACTGGCATGCACCAGTATTCCTTTAGTGAAATTATACTGGTTTATTCTAGCTAGGAATTAACCTCCCTGAGTTTTCTCTGTAGTAAACTGACCAATTGATGTTTGGTGTTCTGTGTTACTTATTTAGTGAAATAATTCATCGTTCTCAAAAACATGGCCTCAAAAATACTTTTTTTTTTGATGGAGATAGTATAGTGGATAAATACACTTAGTACTCTTAAAATATTTTAATAACTGCCAAGCACCCCTGAGACTCTGATAAAATCTTTGTTGTTTCACTGCTGTTTTTTTGCTGTGACTTAAGTGCTATATTTGGTGTATATAAAACCAAAAAAAAAGTTGAACATTGGGGAATTTTGACTATTTTTTGTTTGTGCTCTTTCAGATGTCTTTGTCCTGCTTCGTTTCATGGACCAGACTGCCAGCAGACTAAGCACAGTTTCCATGGAAATGGTTATGCATGGTTTCGTCCCATCAGGCCTTGTTTTGAAAGCTCACTCTCTCTAGAGTTTATTACTGTGGTTCCAGATGGGCTTTTACTATACAGTGGTCCTTTATCAAATCCAGAACCTGGGAGTACAGAAAACTTCATTGCAATAGGTACTTCTGCAAAAGTGTGTGAAAAAATTAAATGTCTTTTGGGAACGGGTTGCCTGTGAACAGTGTAGTAGTTAGAGTATGAATTCTGTCTTTCCATCTTATGAAATAATTTGTTTTCTCGTTTGAAAATATTTTGAAACATTCCCTAATAGGTCTTTCTTCTTTGATGTCTATTTTTGTAGCCTGCACCTATGGCTTTAGGTCCATCGCAGAGTTGTAGAAATCAAGGGGAAAGCAAAATAGACAGATTGATACATATAAAAAAATAATGCCCCTAGGAAAACTGTAGTGCTATAAAAGAATTTAGGTACTTTGAAGATAGGTATTACATGATTAATGCGGTCTTAGTTGCATGTCATTCTTATCTAGTTTGGTGAGAAAAAAAAATCCACTTAAACTGCTTTCAGTCTTGGGGCATTTTTACACTTTTTTTTAAACAGGCAATGATTTGATGGATGAATCCAGCCGCAGCATGCCACTGTAGGAAAATTTATACACAAGTAGAACTCATTGCTTTATGTTGACACATATTTAAAAGGTTACTACTGCTTAGTTTTTGTGAATTAATATACAAGATGCACAGTACGGTTGGTATTTTATGTCTTCCCAATTAATTGAAAGGTGAAGTTGTTGGACAGTGTTAATCATTAACCTCTTTTTCCTTTGTTTTGCAGTTACTTGTAAATTTGAGTAGAAGACGGGAAGGAGTAAAACCCGCATGTGTTAATTGTTTTAGAGCATTATAAAATCGCAGATTGTTTATCAGGAATTAGTTCCAGTGTTTTGACAAAGAAGTGGCACAGTCTAAAGTGTAAAAATAAATACTATATTCAATGAGTATTTCTGCATAACAGAAGTCATCGAATATAATTCTAGTTATTTCTATAGTGAACCCCGCTTTATGTGACTAGCAATAACTGTTAAATTAATACATGCACTAACTGCTAAAATATCCAAAATTGAAAGATTCTCATAGCTGAAATTAATTTCTTTTTCGTGTTGTATTAGAACTCTCCGGTGGTATTCCTGTGCTGAAGATGAGCCATGGCTCAGGTTTTGTGATGCTGCAGTTTCCAAGTCACCTGAATGTAGCAGACAAAAAATGGCATCAACTAGAAGTCAGAACCAGTGGTCAGGTCAGTTATTTGATTTTTTTTCCACATCAGGATGTTTGTATTTCCAGTAGCATTTGCCTGTGCAGAAACAGGAGGGTAGAAAAAACAAACTGTGTAATTACATGTGTTATTCTAACTGTGCTTGTAGATTCGATGAATAATACGAATTTTGGGAAGACAGCATTGTCAATTCCAAATTTACCTATGTTGTAATCTATATTCTGGGATCAGAGGAATCTTTTTCCTGTTTTTTAAGCTCTGCAACGCATATGGAATGTGCATAAAGGCTTAGCTGTAATTTGCACATTCAGTGTACACATTTGGACACTGAAATCAATTACCTACGCACAAAAAGCAGATAATTATTTATTTGCAAATGCAGTTACAGTTTTTGTGAAAGTGGTTAAACTACTCAGAAGCATAAATTAAATGCAGAGTTACACGCCTTCTTTGTTAAATGGTTCCATGTTTCCGTTACTGTTTATTGCAAGATGGAAAACAGAGCAGGAAAAAACCCCAGCCCTTTTTGCTTGATGGTATGCAAAAAGAAAAAGATGAAAATTTGATATAACTTGTTTATTGAATTTTACAGAAATTCTTAATTCAGTAATCCTGTGTTTTGGTGTAGGATGTTCGATTCACTTTGGATCATTGCAGTGCAGCTGTTGTTTCGGAGATAGAAGGAGTAGGCAAATGGCTGTCCACTGAAGATCGTACAAATTGTGAAGCCTTTGGGTCTGTTCCACGAAGAGCAAGGTACATTTCTGGAGATTCACTGAAAGACAGTTTGTTCTAAGGCCTTTGAACATTTTACCTATCAAATTGAAGCAAAGTTGTTAATGACTAGGACCATAAAAGCAATTTGCTTTTCTCTAAGACCTCCTGGGCCGAGTCTTGGACCTTAAAGCACTAAACAAATTCTAAGGAACCAGTCTTCCTCCGAGTAGTGTTGCAATACTAAATGACAACCCCAGAACACTATGTGGCTACTACTGGAGCTTTTGTGGGTACTGTGTACCATCCCTTACCCACAGGATTCCTCTCATTTTATTTATCAAGTCACTGCTCTTGAAGACCTCACAAAATTAGGCCAGTTGACTTTTTAATGGCAATAACTCTGGATCCTCAACCAATCTTACTATCTGATTGGTATAAGTCTGAGGGCTTCTACTGACAACCGTTGGCAAACGTACTAAGGCAGACTAACGCATCAAGGTTACTGCCTTCATAGCCGAGTCAGAGGAAATGCGCATGTATCCATACCTCGGCCGTTGACTTCACAGCCTGGTGTACTTGCATAAAGTGCTGAATCAAGTAGGCTGGTGCTGGCGTGCCTGATTATGGGCTGCAGCATCTCATATTGAGATATACAATCCACCTGTGTTTGTTTTCCAGCAAAGTAATACAGCCAAGGTGCGATAATGACTCTGGTGGTTTAAATTGCTTGTACTATTGGGTCAGCCCTTATCCTCAGTTAAAACTGAAAAAGTTGGAAAATCTTATTCAAAAAGCAATTACTACCTTCAAAGCAGAAGGATGTGTTCAGCTGCATTCTACAAGCGTTTGGATTCAGTATAATTCAATCCTTTGTACTGATGCTTATTGCCCTTGCTGATGACACCAAGCTGGGAGGAATGACCGGTGTGTTAGAGGGCATGTCTTGGAATTAAAAATTATCTCAGAAAACTGAAAATAGGACCTGGCAATATACTGTAGTTTTCCACTACGACAAAGGGCCAAGTAATGCATGTAGGCAGAAATAACCAGCCTCACAAATACAGAGAAGGGAACAACCGCTAAATATCAGTAAAAGATGGATGGTAGTCGGAAAGTGAGTCAGCAATGCCACATTAACATGAAAAAGACAAGCACTACACAGTAATTCCTCAACATGTGTAGATCTCTAAGATATGGAAGGTAATTCTTCCACTCTGGTTAGCACTGTTGGGCCTCAGCTGGAGTCCTGGGTCCAGTTTGTGCACCACAGTGCAGGATAGATGTGTACCAACTGGGTATAGTCCAGAGAAGAGCAATGACTGTAATCAGCTTGCCTTGAGAATAAGACCTATCAAGAATGAAGGAATTGAGGTCACTTAACTGAAAGAAGGGAAAACTGAGGAGAGATCTGGTAAGTCTCAGTGTATGTAAAAGAATACTACAAAAAGGATTTAGATAATCTTTTCTGTAGAGGGCCTTAAGTTACAGTGAAGAATATTCAGGTTATATTTTAGGGAAACCTTTATACTAATAAAGATGCTTGAGCTGTGGAATAGATAGTCCCAGCAAGTGTGCTGATTAGCAATGGGATTAAGCCTTGTCAGCAGATGCACGGAGCCCTCCTGGTCACGAAAGGAGCTCACAAAAAAGGGAAAAATATAAGAAGAAATGAAAACAAAAAATTGCAATGTCTCCTCCCCGAGTTATTAGCTCAGAGCCTGGACATGTGTACTGTACCTTTTAGACCACGATGACTCAACTTTTAGGTTTCTGGCCTTTATCATACACAAAACAGTTTTTGTTGTAATATTGCTACAGTATAGGATGAATGTGCACACACAGAAGCACTTGAAGGAGAATATGGTGTCTAGAATATCACAGCTGTTCCTGACTTGAACACAAACATACCTGAATTATAATAGTGTCGCACAGTTAAACTCCCAATAGGCTTCACAGTCATGTTAAAAAAAATAAATTACCCTTTATTTTAAAGGGCCAGCTTCTGCTTACTGACTGACTGTATTTCAGAGAAAGAAGTGGATAAAATAGTTGCATTCTTTTGTTATTTTATAAAGCCTCTATTATTTGGAAATGCAGTATAGATGTTTATTTATCTGTCTTATTATTATATAATGCCGATGTTTGAAGGTAAATTCACATCTATTTTTATTATTCATATGATTTTTAAAGGTATTTGAATGTGAACCATGTTCTACAGCTGGGTGGTGTAAAAGAATCTTTACCATATTCCTACCCACAGTTGCTACACAAACACTTTTCTGGTTGTTTGCGCAATTTCATCTTGGATACTCAGGTGAGAGAAGTGTAACATTTTGCTTTAGCAAAGAAGTAAACTTCATTAAATTTTGGGGAGATTTGTATTATACCTGAAACTTTTGCTTCCATTAATCTATTCAATGCTCATATGTGTCAGTGTAAAATACAAGAAAACTCTGGATTTTTTTTGTCATAATTAGAATAGCTACCTTGAAAAGTTATTTCTCAATTGGAAACAGATGTATTTGTGAGCCAGAAACTGTGCCTTTGTTTATCCCTTACTTCATGCAGCTGTCTTCCAAGCTTTTTTGTGCATTCAGGGAACTTCTGAATGGCAATTGTATAATGGTATATTTAGGCCAGCTGTCTGCTTTGTTAGGAAATATTAGGGGTTTTTTGCTTTCATAGTCAGTTGAGTTTATTCAAAGGCAAAATACAGTCTTGATAAAATAAGTTGAAAATCTGAACGTCAAAAAGCAAACTTAGCATCTTAAGCAATGCAGACGAAGAACAGACTGTTGTGTGGTATAGCTATTTCTGTTTAAGAATGAAGTATAAGTGTTTATTAAATAATATTTCGGTGTTACACAATTTTCTCTTGAAGGTATACGACCTTCAGTCTCCTGCAGAGTCCCTGAATAGCTTCCCTGGCTGCACACTGACAGATGGGAGCTGTGAGACCATGGGGTCTTCTTCCTGTGGTATTCATGGGAGGTGTCTTGGAGACTGGGGATCATTCGCTTGTCATTGTTTGCCGGGTTACTACGGCTATCGATGTGATAAAGGTGAAGTTTGTTTTTCTGTTACATTATTGATAGGCTGGTAAATTCTACGATACAGAAAACTCAAAATGTTTGCAGGTATTGATTGCTGAGGTGGTTTCTGATGTTTACATTGTATAAAGCCGTGTTTCAGTGTAGTTGCCTGTGATTTTTAACAATTTCTTTTCTAATTCCCTTTCAGAAATTACCTTCTCAGTATCAGATAATTTCTTTAGTCCTGAGGGTGTTTGTGCAATAACTGTATAATGGAGACTGCATCACAAAAGAATTGTGAACAAAATAATTTGTTCTCATCACAATTGTTTGAATTTGCATCTGTTTACACTTTCAGAAATATCTAATGACCTAAAACTTAAATGTGAGTGTGCCAGTACCACTTACTGTGCAGAATTAGAACTACACAACTGGAACTAGAAATTACTGTTCTGTTAGTGTCTGGAAGAGACTCTATTGGCTTAAAGATCTGTGCTTTTGGTATAGTAGGATCTTTTCTCTAGCCCTCATGGAGCCAAAGTTTGCAGCAAAAAGACAACTATAAAACAGCAGGTTGTGAAAATTGGTTGTGGTACTTAATATTTTGTCTGCAGTCTCTTCTTTTGTCTTGATCAGAGCTTCTGCTTTCCTGCTGTCATCCTGTGTGAGCATTGTAAGGAGAAGCATTAGCAGGATCAAGTCAGGAGGGAGATCACCTCTTTACAGAGGAAGATGAAATGGGAGAGTGACTGGGGAAGTTGTGGAAATAGATAAAGGGACATGTCCCAAAAGACAAGCTATGTCTCATGGATCCATGCTGTGCAGTACAATTTTTTTTTTTACTTTCAACTCTTATTATGAAAATAATGGAACAATAATATTTCCCTCTCCCTACAAAATGGTTTAAAGGTCTTTATCCTGTTGTTTTAGTTGCCAAAGAATATACATTTGGGCCAGGAAGTCACATTCGCTATCAGCTCCCCGTCAGTGTGCCTGCCCGTAGGACGCTCTTTGAAGCCATGATTAGGACACGGCAGCCTGACAGTGTCATCACGAGCATGTTGTCTCGAAATAAGGATGAGCACATCACCCTGCAGGTGAGCAAGGCATCCCAGACAGTAGTAGCGTAAAGTTAAATCAGTGCCCGTGAAGAGTTAGCCCAGAGAAACATTAGCTTAAGAGTTGGAAATAGAACCGAAACCCTTATGCACAAAAACCCTAAGCACAAAAACTTTGGAATTTTGTTTTATGGACACTTACAGATCTGATCCTTCACTTAAGATATTGACTGCACAACCATGGTATCCCATTGGATTTCGAATGAATTTATTGCCAGTTACAGTGAAGTATAGTTTGCTATGCAGAATAGGATGAATAGTGTGTCTACCCTGGTGTCCTATTCAGCTGTGGTCACGAGTGGCCGATGCTGCATAGTTCAGACCCTGACAAGAAAGGTGCCTGTAGCAGTTCTAATCATGTCGCTCTCAAAATGACAACCTGTTCATTTTATACATACCACTGAAATGAGTCACCTCTTCAGCTAAATTGGTTTGAGCTGTTAGTGTAGAAGTGATGCACCAGATTCTCAACTGTTCGAAGAACTCCGTAAATTTGTCGAAGAGAGAAGCAGGATAAAATTACTCGGAGTGAATTACATAGTACTGTGAGTACACCGCTACCAGTATTTAGGTTGTCAAGTTCAGTAGCACCTGAAGTATCTTTATATTACGCTGTATGTGCAGTGCAAACATACCCTAAATTTAAACAAATGCTTTGAGATTGATGATTGCATACAAGTCTTAGTTCAAGTAATGTGACAGTTACATGTCAATACAAAATGTCAGGTGATGACTTTTCTTTCTTACTACTTTGTTAATTATCCACAAGGTTGTTCGGGGATTCTTAGTGGTCTCGTATAATCTGGGTGATGGAGACTATTCTGTAAGCCTTCCCTCCTACCACATTGATAATGGTGAATGGCATCATATCACACTGGAGAGAAATGAAAATGAATTTACGCTTCGCCTTTATGAAGGAGGTGGGAAGAGAGAAATTCTGAAAGCAGCAGGAGTATACAAAGAGATTGTGATTGACCCCAGCAGCTTGGTCCTTGGAAACACCTACCCGTTCAATCAGAACAAGAGTTTTCAAGGTGAGGAATTCTTGATCTCACTGTTTGGAATATGGACCTGTAAAAATGAAGGTTTATTGGTACTACATGGGCATATTGTGAGAAGCTTTCTTGTTTATATAGAGCCCACAGTAAACAGATTTCTTGCATGACACTTCGCAAAAGGAGCAAATAAACTGTTCTGACTAGGAAAAAGGTACAGCAGGGAATTATGTGCAAATACTGTTAGCTACTGGACTTGGAACAAAGATGGTAACCTCTTCACACAACTGTATGTAGAGTATTTGTAACTGGAGATCCACAAGCTTCTCCCAGGTGGGCTCTGGATGGCTTATTACATTAGATACACAGAACTGGTTCATTGCATGGTTCTATCCAGTCCATTTGGCAGCTGCCCTTCCCTGCCAAATACAACTGTCCCTATGCTGAAAGGAATATTTCCATTTTATATGGGCATTGCACAGCACACAACAAACTCTGGTTTATTACCTTTATGCACTACCTTTGTATTATTGGATTTTACAGTCAATCAGTTGAAGCATTAACTAAAATGAGAAATGGTTTATCAAATTAGAGCTAACAGTTTAAATTTTTAGCAACTGAGCAGACGAAGGCATGATGTTTGTTAAAAAAAACAAATCAGTTTTCAGCCTGGAAATTGAATAGTTACACAAAGGAGAGAGAAATATAGAGAAATGTAACGTTAAGATAATCCATAACAGCTTTTTACTCTGTCCTTAGTTGGCAGCTCACCCTTCGCCTAAAATCACAGTATAAGTTAATGCACAGTTACGCAGCACATCTTTTATATTGACAAGGAAGACACACACCATTACTTGGTTAAATGCGCCTGGTGTATCTGTCTATCACCTCTCTCTCCCATGCCTTTGTCGTGGTTTAACCTCAGTCGGCAACTAAGCACCACCCAGCCGCTCGCTCACTCCCCCCCGCCCAGTGGGATGGGGGAGAGAATTGGAAAAGCACAAGTGAGAAAAACTCGTGGGTTGAGGTAAAAACAGTTTAATAATTGAAATAAAATTATAATAATAATAATATGATAATAATAATAATACACCTCTTTAACCAGATTCTAGTAAATCCATTTGAAACAAGGTGGTAATGTTTTCACCAGATAAAAGTATTTCAGTGAGTAACACAAAAGTATGAGGAGAAAACGTATGAAATATATACGCATTAGATAGAATAACAACTTACACCATGAGTGTATCTCAAATTATTTAGAAAAAGATTGCTTTCCATTGTTTCACTAGAAGTATTCCAATAACTAAAGTTTATGCTGAGAACTAGGGATTCTGAATACTAGGGGTTTGTATTTTGAATTTTTATTTATTGGAGTAATAGTATTTGTTTTTAAGTAAGTAGATTAAAGAAGTCAAATGGTTACATGAAGATCATTTTAATTAGGACAATTAATGTTGCTGTTAAGCAGCTGAAACTTTACGGGCTTTGAAGTTATAAAATGTACTTAATCCATCAAGGTATATGCTTTTATGCTGAGGCATCTTGTGCATATGAAATTAATGCCACACATCTTCAGTACATTTCTATCAGTGACCCAAGGCTGTTTCACCGTTATTTGTGGTTTGCTCTTCTATAAAGTTAAGCTGTAAACCAGAATTAAGATCAACCAAACACAATTTGTACTGGTACACATTGAAGAATGTAACAGAATTCCCATGTATAAGAGATTTTCCACAATATTTGGACTTTTCTATTGAAAACACAGTGAAGGAGTACGTGTTCTGCTGCCTTGAACACAAGCAGATAGGGGCCTGCAGCAGTGCTTGGTTCTTGTGGAAAACACTGGGGATCTTGATCAAAACTTAATAAATTCAGTCAAAAAACAGAGAATGGTGCTATGAAAGTTTGGGTAAATTCAGTCCTAGATTTGAACTTTGGTAGCCTGGGTCCTTTGTTAAACATAAACTGCCAAATCTTACAGCTGCTTCAAATCGTTCTTGCTGAACGGCTTTTAAAATAGTCTCTTTGTGCCTTGCCTCAGGATGTATGAAGGATGTCAGATTTAATAACTACAGAATCCCTCTGGATACTCACGTGAAGGAGCTGGTGTCAGTATTAAGTGCCGAAGGCATCAAAGAAGGCTGTTCTTCGGAGGCTTGTAGGAATAACCCTTGTCACCAGGAATTTATTTGTATTGATTTGTGGATGATGCATGAATGCAGGTAATTGGTGGAAATAAAAGCACAAAACCCTCCAGATTCAGGTGGGAAAGGGTGGGTGCTGAAGAAGTGTGCAACTTAAAGGCTGCCACTGGCAATCTCATCAAATCAGTTGAACCACAGTGAAACACTAAGCTAGATGCCTGCATAGGCATCAGGTTACTCAGAGAACACTGTCCTTTTAGGTACTACCCTTAGCTGATGTATAATCGGTGTATCTCCATTGATTCTGTAACAGTTTCAGCTGCCCATCTTAATTGAAAATGTTTAAAGAATAGCAGCAAATCCAGAATGTTTGTAAACCCTGAAAATCAGGAAAAGGGGGAATGTTAGCTTGAGTGGAGTGGAACACTAGCATGGCTAGCTGTCTTGTGAAGCTCATGCTGTGCAATGTAGATGTGCTCTCTTTTGTCAGTGTTTGACTTCTTATACTGTCTTAAGCTGTGACCTCTGTTCCCTTACAGGCCACTCAAGTTGCGTTAGAAGCACCGCATCATTAAGCTCAGAGTTCTTATGTGTGGCTGGGGCTGAGGTTAGGACAACACCAATTCAAGTTAGTTGTGCTGTGAAAACGTACACTTTAAGCATTACTGACTGCCACTGTCCACACAAATGGAGTTTTCTAGAGATGTATTTTTTTTCTGGAAATTCACTGTGATGGAAACACAAAGAACATAGCATAGCTTGTCCTGCCTAGACAGACCTGCAAACCCTAATCCAAGCTATTTTTCACATGGGTAATCTTGCAGAAGCCAGTGGATCTACCTGAGTTCTGAAAGCCCCAGATGTAAGGGTTTAAAGTTGTGGAGCTCATTGTTCACCACAAAGCTGGTGAAGGGTCTAGAGCACAACTCTTATGAGGAGCGGTTGAGGGAACTGGGGTTCTTTAGCCTGGAGGAAAGGAGGCTCAGGGGAGACCTTCTCGCACTCTACAAGTACCTGAAAGGAGGTTGTAGCGAGGCGGGTGTCGGTCTCTTCTCCCAAGTAACAAGTGATAGGACAAGGGGAAATGGCCTCAAGTTGCACCAGGGGAGGTTTAGTTTGGATATTAAGAAAAATTTCTTCACCGAAAGGGTTGTCAAGCACTGGAACAGGCTGCCCAGGGAAGTGGTTGAGTCCCCATCCCTGGAGGTATTTAAAAGACGTGTAGATGTGGTGTTTAGGGACATGGTTCAGTGGTGGACTTGGCAGTGCTAGGTTAACGGTTGGACTTGATGATCTTAAAGGTCTTTTCCAACCTAAATGATTCTATGATTCTATGAGTGCTTTAGAAAAGACTACAATCCTGTAATTATTCTAAGTAACTTACTTCTAGTAGCTACTTCAGAAACTGTATATAGAGTGTCCTCAAAGGCTGTTTTAAAGTCTTAAATGCTGTCTTTCACACCTACTTTTGTCAAAGCTTAATGGTGTCATTTTGCCTTCATCTTTTCAGTTGCCCTCCGGGACACATGATCATGGAGAATGCCACTGGTAGACAGTGTGTCTACACTGCATGTGCTAAAAGGCCCTGTAACTACGGTACCTGCATCTCACAGTCACCAACCAAGTTCCAATGTCACTGCCCTGATGGCTATACTGGACGTAACTGTGAAATCACACTGGCGATCTTTCACAAGGATACAGGCCTGAGCTTTAGTTCCATGTTTGCCATCTGCATTTGCTTTTTGGCGCTGTTAGGTAGTTACGGCAACTATATCTTGTATTACCTTTGGTGAACTCATTTATCCATCTTGTCCTGAATAGTCGTCATCTCATC